CTCCCTCAGCCTCTCCCTGTCAGACTTTCCCTCCAGTCCCTTCCCCAGCCTCGTTGTCTCCTCTGGACCTGCTTCATGCTTTCTCCTTGCAAGAGCCAAAAAATCTAAATCAGGTGCATTTGTGAATGAACAGAGGGCCACAACCCACAGCTGGCACCAGGAGCACCTTGGACGTGCCACTCCATGGCCTCAGGTCACCCTGCACACCCTGCACTCCCCAGGCCTCTGCTCTGAACTCCAGGTTGTCCCAAGGGTTTTCTTCCACATGCAACACAAAGGATACATGAATGTCCTGCTGTGCCACCCAGTGTTACAGCACCTTGTACTTCCCCACTAAATGTTCATCCTCATTTCCATCCTCATCCTCGTTTGCTTTCCCACGGTGCAGGGGGAAAATGCACAACCAGTCTTCAAAATTACCAAACTCGTTTTCCAGCTCAGAGTTGTAGATCTGAAACAAGTGGAAAGTATTTTGGGGTGTTTTTCCTGCCATCTTAAAAGGGAAATGAGTCAGAAAGACCTTCCTTTCCCTGCTTCAACCGTATCTCCTGCCCCAGCCTAACCCCAGTATCAGCCAGTGCAGGGTGTTATGGTTTTCCCTTGTCCCCCCCAGGTCCATCCTCAGCTGTGCCCACACAGCCCAGCTTGGCTCCAGGGTCTCACCAGCTGCTTCAAATCCCAGCAATAATGGGAGCCCAACATGGTCTGCAGGTGGACAACCTGGAGGTTCCCAGGAGGAGATCCCAGTCTGACCTCCACTGCAGGGAGGTGACCAGGACATGGACAAAGGGCTGAAAGAGGCCAGATCTGTCACCCCAACCATCACCTGAAGGGTGGCAATGAGCTTCCTCTTGGGTCGTGCAGGTTCAGCTTCAATTACTGCCTCATCTTCTGCTTCCATATCAATGGAGCATGTGTTTAAATTCCCTCCATCTGGAAATGGCAACAGGAGAAGGAGAAACAACCTGATCTCTCCAATCGTCTCAAGCATCTGTCCATGAAATGACCCCAGCAGCAGCTTTCACCTTCACCCAGGGCTTTGCCAGGGCACCTGGAGCTCTCACTGGTGTCCTCACAGCATCTCAGGTCCCCCAGCAAGGCACGGGGTGGGTGAGGACCTAAGAACTGGCACTGACCTGCCAGCCTTGGTGACTACTGTTTAGGAAGGGAGTGAGCAGAGCCTGAAGGGAGGAGGGTGCTGGAGCAGCCCAGGGGCCTGTCAGGACAGGCACAAATGCCAGCAAACCCTTCTCCTTTGGGTGGACACTGCCTGGATGTGCCCTGCTTCGGGTGCCGTGGCACTGCAGGCTGCCTGCCCCACCAGGCACAGGGAGCCCTGCATGGAGAGCATGGCCAGACCTTCCTCTGGGACACCAGCAACCCCAGGACAGAGAAGATGTGTCCTTACCCCACTTCCCAGTGATCCCTTGAGCACTCATGGCTCCAGCCTCCCCCTGGGCAGGGTTTCCCTGGTTCCCACACTCCCTGTCTCTCCTCCCCAGGCCAGGGCAGGGCAATCACTGCTCACACCTCCACACACCTGAGCCTCCAGCTCTGACACTGCTCTGAGACCATCCCTCTTTCTGCTACCTCCTGGTAAGCCCTGTGCCCCTAGTGGGTACCCCACGTGCAGGGGGTGATGCCCAGCTCCTGGACAGTGTGGCCTTTCCTCCATCCTCTCCATCCCACCACCCCCTCCATCCCACCTTGGCTTCCTGCTCTCACCCTGACAATCCCACAACCCCTGCAGCTGATTTTTCCACGAATTTTTGCTCACTCAGGAAGACTCCTGCTTCAATACAGGTTTCCAGATTCTTCTGAGGCATGTTTGGTGTTTTCCACTTGAAAGAGCCTTGGTTAGCCCTTGCCAACCTTCCCAGCCCCTCTGCTCCCTTTTGTGTTGTTTGTGCTGAAGGCTGCCAAGCTGTTGCCTCCTCAGACCCCATTCCCACAAGCCCAGCACCCTCTGGGATGGGGTAAATCCTGGCTGTCCCCACAGGAGAGCTGGGTATTGCTGGAGGACTCACCTGCATCATTCAGGTCATCGTTGTCAGCATCTTCCTCATCACTGCGTGTCTGAAACACACACAAGCAGTCACCCCACATGCCTGACACCAAAGGCTTCTCCATCCAAGCACTACCAGGGCTTTGCTGCCAGCAGAGGCAGGGACACAGCCTGAGACCATTCAGCACTATCATCACGCAGGAGGGCATCCAGGAGGTGCCTTTGTGTCCTTTTCTTCCACCCACATCTTTCTGCTGGCTTTTTTGACTGGGATTTAAGGGACACAGGGCAAGGAGATTTGGGGCTCCCATGGCACATCCTGGGAAGTCAGCCAGCCTGATAGCTTTTTTGATTGGGATTTAAGGGACTCAGGGCAAGGAGATTTGGGGCAGACCTGCTCCCATGGCACATCCTGGGAAGTCAGCCAGGACAGAGAGCAAGCAGTATGAAAGCCCCTGCACTGCAGCTAAAATCAGCAAGGTCACATCTTCAGGACTGCCTCAACAAAAGCCCAGCTGCATTCCCAAAACCCCTTGAGCACCTGGGCTCAGGGATGGTTCAACACCCACTGCCTGCTGGAATCACTGCACCTGCTGGGTGCTTGGGACCTGGCTCCTTCTCGTGTGCTTGACACACAAAACCCCACACGTCCCTGCAGATCCACACCAGGAGGGCTCCTGTGGCTGTTGAGAACATCTTCCTCAAGCCTGTGCAGCCAAGTTCCCCTCTGCTGGCACCTGCCACACAGGATTACCTGGTTATACAGCTCCTTCAGGGACTCATAGTACTTAGACCACCAATCCAGTTCTTCCAGCTCTGGTTTTTCCTCTTCATATTCATCCTCTTTCTTTCCAAGCTTGTTAAGGGGAATTTTCTTGAAAGGAGCCTTATAAAAACAGAGAAGGGTTCAGAGAGAGGAAAGGACCACCCATGCACCCTGCTCTAGAGCCCTGGGAGCCTCTCCCTGTGGCCCCAGGTTTGTGCTTTGCTCCAAAAGCAGCAGCTTTGCAGGCCCAAGAGAAGCCCAGAGCCCACGGGCATGGGGAGAGGAGCCTTTGGTCCAGAGCAAGAAGCAGTGGCTGGAACCTGACTCTGAACTTCTCCGCTTCCTTTCATCTTTGCAACCTCCAGGGTGGCTTTGCAAGCTCCCAAACACACCACTCACCTTCACCAGACTCAGAGGGTGAGTGCTGGGACCTGGGTCACCCACAGCCTGCGGGGGGGGTCGCTGGGATGAGGCTTTCCTGGCTGAGATGAAGAGAAAGAGCTTCATGTTTCCATGTGTTGACTCCTGTTCATTGCTTCCTGCTTTGGGGCCAGTTGCCATTACCCAGGAAAACCCCCCTCTGTTGTGCCACCACATTTCAAGCTTTTGCTAGCAGACCTTGCAAAACTATTATTGGGAATGCAAGTTCATCATCATCAACATGGTTGTTGCCAACTCCAGTGGGTTCAGGATGATGAGACACACCTGCTCTACTTGGAAAAGGCCACAGGTCAGTCAGTCCTTGGCTTCTACCCCTTTGTGCTGCATTTATTTACACACTTTCAGGTCAGGAGCTCTGGCTGCTGCCACCACAGAGCTACTGAATGACTCTGTTACCCAGTGAACAGATCTTGGCTCAACAATGCAAGAAGAGTAAACCTCTCAGTCCCTGGTGCTGGTGGACCAGCTCCCTGAGGCTTGGTGGCAGTCATGGGGGACAGCTCTGCAGCCTGGCTACTCAGGGGGTTGCAAGAGGTGAAGGCAACAGATCTTCCCAAGCTGAATATCTCTGATTCTAAACACAAACTTCCCCTAGGGAGAAGTTACATTTAGTCCCAGCAAAATGTCCTGCTGCACTAAGATGTCCTCATGAACCACCTTCCTCAGGTGTCCACAAATGCAAAGCAAACAGTGTCTGGGACAGAGTCCCCAGGGAGATGCCACATCCACGGGTAACAGCCCTGCTGCTGCAGTGGGGGGGCAGATCTTCAGCCAACCTTGGAGAAAATAGCCTGTAGACTTCCCTTTGCCTGCCCCAAGAGCCCTTCCACAGCTTTCCCTGGCTGCTGCTTCCCAACCACCAGTCTGGAGCCAAGTGCTACAGCTCAGGATCACAGCCTGTCCCCAGCCCCAGCCTGCCCCACGCTTCTGCTGGCGTCCTGTGGGTCTGAGGAGGGGACTTAGCCTGGCTAGGAGGGACAGAAAGGGCCAGGTGCAGGGACCTTGCCAAGCAGCTCACCTTTGGGCAGGACTTCTGGCTCTTCCTCCAGCTCTTTGGGAGAGAATTTCATCACGTCAGACACGATGTGGGTGCCCACCAGCACCGTGCGCCCGAACGCCCGCTTCTCCACCACGAAGATGCTGAGGGGAGGGTGCAGGTAGACCTGCTCTGGGAGCTCCTGCAGAGGAACCACTCCTGGGCTTCACAGGAGCAAGGGTGACCCCTGACCAGTGTTGTTTAATAACTTCACTAATGATACTGACAGTGGCACTGAGCACCCTCAGCAGGTTTGCTGATGACACCAAGCTGGGTGGTGCGGTGGATACACCAGAAGGTTGTGATGCATCCAGAGGGATCTGGACAAGCTGGAGAAGTGGGCCCAGGTGAACCTCATGAGGTTCAACAAGGCCAAATGCAGGGTCCTGCATGTGGGCAACTAGAGGTATCAACACAGGCTGGGGGAGGACAGGCTGGAGAGCAGCCCTGTGGAAAAGGACCTGGGGTACTGGAGGATCAAGAGCTGGACATGAGCCACCAATGTGCAGCTGCAGCCCAGAAGGCCAACTGCTTCCTGGGCTGTATCCAAAGAAGTGTGGCCAGCAGATGGAGAGAGGTGATTCTGCCCCTCTGCTCTGCCCTGGTGAGACCTCCCCTGGAGCTCGGCATCCAGCTCTGGAGCCCCAGCACAGGAAGGATGTGGAGCTGTTGGAGTGTGCCCAGAGGAGGGCAATGAAAATGAGCTGAGGGCTTTCTTATGTAGACAGGCTGAGGGAGTTGGGGCTGTTCAGCCTGGTGAGGAGAAGACTCTGGAGGACCTTATAGCGACCTTCCAGTACCTGAAAGGAGCCTGTGAGAAGGCTGGGGAAGAGCTGCTCACTAGGGCATGTAATGATAGGACAAGGGGTGATGGTTTCAAGCTAGAGAAGGGTAGATTTAGGTTGGACATTAGGAAAAAGTTCTTTATATGAACTGGATCACTGGCATGGGTTGCCTAGAGAGGTGGTGGAGGCCCCATCCCTGGAGACATTCAAGGTCAGGCTTGATGGAGCTCTGAGCAACCTGATCCAGTCTGAGATGTCACTGCTTATTGTAGGGGGGTTGGGCTAGATGAGCTTTAGAGGTCCCTTCCAACCCAAGGCATTCTATGATTCTGTGACAGTCCCACCACATATGAGGAGATCAGCTCTGCCCAAAACACCTCCTGCAGTGCCAGGAGGTGGCTGAGACTGCTCCTGGTGGGCAGTGGCACAAAGGTTTTGCTCTGCAGCTGAACTGTGTGGCCAGAGGAGAGCACAGCCCTGGGCACAGCTCCCTGCTTGCCCCACGCAGACCAGCAGTGCAGGACGGCCATGATGCACCCTGGCACGGCAGGACCCTCCTTCCCACTCACCACGTCCATGTATTTGACCAGCTCAGTGAAGTTGGAGTTCTCTCTGTAGGCCACGATCACCTCGGACTCCACCTTCTTGCCAGCACATTCAATGATCACCTGGGGCTCATCCACCTCGAACAAGTTCACCCTCTTCAGGTCCCGCAGGCCCCAGAACAGGATCTGAAGCACAACACGAAGCTCCTGGGCTGCTCCAGGCATGGCAGGGCCAGGCAGCCAGAGCTGTCACCCCATTCCTGCAGGATCCCAAGAGGGGCACGAGGCCCTCCCAGGCCAGCCAGGCTCTGGCTTGTTAACCTGCTGAGATGGTTTCTGCCTCAAGCGTCTCCATCTCTGACATCTGCTCAGGCCTCAAAGGCACATTTCATAGAATCACAGAATCATTCAGGTTGGACGGGACCTTAAAGCTCATCCAGTTCCAACCCCCCTGCTTGGGCAGGGAACCACCAGCCCAGGCTGCACAAAACCTCCTCCAACCTGGCCTTGAAAACCTCCAGGGATGGGGCATCAACAACCCCCCTGGGCAGCCCATCCCAGCTCCTCACCACCCTTAGAGTGAAGAATTTCTTCCTACTATCTGACCTAAACCTATCTGACCTAAATCTCCCCTCTCTCAGTTTAAAACCATCACCTCTTGTCCTGTCCCTGTCTGCTCTGATGAAAAGCCCCTCCCCAGCTTTCCTGGAGCCCCTTCAAGTACATTTGAGCCCCAACTCCCTGCCCAAGCCTTGCCCTGCCCAGGACAGCCCCGCGGGGCCAGCAGAGCAGAGGACATCCCACCTCAATGCGGAATTCCTTCAGGACAGGCCGGATGCCCTCAGGGATGATGAACCGTCCGGCACGAGGGTCTCCCAGGTACTCGGGCTCCTTGGGCTCCACGTCCTCGGGCACTGAAGGCTGAACAGGGCACACCAAGCCATGGAAGCCATTTCTACCCCATGCCTTGTCCCCTCTCCCTCCCCTCCTGGTCCCTGCTCCCAGGCTCTGTCCCTGCAGCCTCCCAGAGGTGCCTCCCAGCAGGGAACCCGCGGGCAGGTCCCTACAAGCCCAGTTACCTCCAAATGGCCCCTGTAATCCAGCTCGATCAGCTCAAAAGTGGCAATGAGCTCCCCTGCTGCCCTGGTGCCTCTGTAGATGTCAAAGAACTGCAGGGCAGGTGTGGTGTAGGGCTCATCTGTTGCAGACTGTTTTAATAAACAACGGATAAAGGCCTGGCCAAGGAACTCGGGGGAGCCCTGTGGGAAAGGGGGTGGAAGCAGCTCCATGTCATCCCACCCCCTCAGGGGAAACACCACCAGCAATTCCAGCCAGCCTGGAGCAGCACAACATCACCCTTTTGCCACTCTCTGCTCCATCCAGAGCCAGGAGCAGGTGAGACATCTGCAGCAGCTCCTCTGAGTTACCAGTTGGTCTTCAGGCAGAACTGGGCACTCAGCCCAGGACCACGCACCAGAGACCACCAGGGACACATCAGGTTGCTCAAGTCTCTTCCAGCCAGAGCTCAAATGTGCCTTTGAGGCCTGAGCCTGAATGTCTCCAAGGATGGGGATCCCACAAGCTCTCTGAGCTCCTGGCCCACCATTTGAACTCCCTCTGGTTGCAAATTGCTTCCTTATATCAAATTGGATTCTTTTTTTTTGGTTTCAGCTGGTGTCCATTGCTTGTCACCCTGCCCCTGGTGCCCCCAGGAGAAGTCTGACCCCTCTTTTCTACCCTCTCCCATCAGACGGCAGTGACACTGCCTCATTTCTCCAGGCTGAATATACCCAGCTCTCCCCTTCTCCTCACTCCATCCTGTGCTCCATCCCCAACCATCCTGGTGGCCTCCTCTGGACTCATGCCAGTGTCTGTCCTGTACTGGGAGCCAGGGAATGAGCTAGGAAAGCTGCTGAGCTAAACAGGAGAACGCAGGGTGAGTTGCACCTTTCCCCTCACAGCAACAAAGGGGCCCCAGGAAAGGAGTGAGACTTCAAAGTACTTGTGAAGAGAGAAGAAAAAGACTGAGAAGATGGAAGATGAGACCTGGGGGACAGAGGGGAAGGAACAACCCTCAGAGCTTCATCCTCTCCCCATGGCTACAAGCCCTCTGCAGTGTGAGCCAGCCAAGGCAGCAGGGAGAGGCACAGGGCTTCTCCAAGGAGGACAGACCCTGCATCCAACAAGAACTCCTCAGGCCCTGGCTCAGGGCAACTCCAAGCCCTTGGCAGGCTGCAGCCAGCAGCTTCCCCAGGTGGTGGCAGGAACCTGCAGAAAGTCTGAACCTCAGCCATAGCCCCCAGATCTCATCACCACTGGTGGACCAGGAGTCACAGAAGCAACCAGAGATGTTGGTCCCAAGTGCCTGCTCACAGCAGCCACACAGAGCTCCTCTGCTTTCCCAGTCCTGCACACGAGAGCAGGAGGCAGCACAGCTGACTTACAAATTTATTGTGGCTGAAAAGGTTGATGACAATCATGGGGGTCTCTGTTTTCAACTCTTCTTTTTTCCCATCAACAATGAGCTGGTCAAAGAGAAGAAGCTCATTCCACATGGGGCTCAGTGTCTCCTCCAGCATCTGCAGACAGAGACAGGAGACCTTGAGGGTCCAGTGGAAACAAAGCACTTTGTCAAGAGGGAGGAAGCTCATCCCCTCTCCCCCACAGCCACCTGCAGCTGGTGCTGGGCACGAGGGGAGATGGTAAAAACAGGAAACCAGGATGTGGGGCCAACCAGCACGTGCCACTCATCCTTGGAGACCATGTTCAACCTTGTTAGTTGTTCCCTGAAGACAGTCATACCCCCCATGGCACACAGACACCTGAAGCCTGGAGTTACAAAACTGCCACAGCACTGACCCCCAACACATCAGGGGGGACATGGCTTTTCTCACCCCAAGACCCCAGGAGGGCAGAGGCAAGAGTTTCAGTGGTCTCACCCTGGTGGCCTGGCAGGAAGTTGAAAACACCACTCTTGCAAATGGATCTGAAAGGCCATTGTCATCTGCAGGGAGGAGCCCTCGAGCCTGATACAAATGGGCTCGGAGCTGGAAATAGCTGAAATCTGGCAAGAAAAAGAGAAGAGAGGTTCAAGTTCCCCAGCTGAGCCCCAGGAGAGGCCAAAACTGATGAAGAGTGTCAGGCAGGGAGGGGTGGGCACATCCTGCAAGGGGTGGGTACCACCTCACTGTGCCTCTCAAAAGGCCAGCAAGGTTTGGCCAAGCAAGACAAGCTCAGTGGACCCCTCAGACACCTCTGGGAAGGACATGACCTGTGAAATGAGCAGTGATGTGGTGTGAGCACCTGCTGGGGGGCAGCACCCCAGGGAGGAGCAGGTGAGATATCTGCAGCAGCTCCTCTGAGTTGCCAGTTGGTCTCCAGGCAGAACTGGGCACTCAGCCCAGGACCACGCACCAGAGACCACCAGGGACACATCAGGTTGCTCAAGTCTCTTCCAGCCAGAGCTCAAATGTGCCTTTGAGGCCTGAGCCTGAATGTCTCCAAGGATGGGGATCCCACAAGCTCTCTGAGCTCCTGGCCCACCATTTGAACTCCCTCTGGTTGCAAATTGCTTCCTTATATCAAATTGGATTGTATTTTTTGGTTTCAGCTGGTGTCCATTGCTTGTCACCCTGCCCCTGCTGCCCCCAGGAGAAGTCTGACCCCTCTTTTCTACCCTCTCCCATCAGGCAGCAGTGACACTGCCTCATTTCTCCAGGCTGAATATACCCAGCTCTCCCCGTCTCCTCACTCCATCCTGTGCTCCATCCCCAACCATCCTGGTGGCCTCCTCTGGACTCATGCCAGTGTCTGTCCTGTACTGGGAGCCAGGGAATGAGCTAGGAAAGCTGCTGAGCTAAACAGGAGAACCCAGGGTGAGTTGCACCTTTCCCCTCACAGCAACAAAGGGGCCCCAGGAAAGGAGTGAGACTTCAAAGTACTTGTGAAGAGAGAAGAAAAAGACTGAGAAGATGGAAGATGAGACCTGGGGGACAGAGGGGAAGGAACAACCCTCAGAGCTTCATCCTCTCCCCATGGCTACAAGCCCTCTGCAGTGTGAGCCAGCCAAGGCAGCAGGGAGAGGCACAGGGCTTCTCCAAGGAGGACAGACCCTGCATCCAACAAGAACTCCTCAGGCCCTGGCTCAGGGCAACTCCAAGCCCTTGGCAGGCTGCAGCCAGCAGCTTCCCCAGGTGGTGGCAGGAACCTGCAGAAAGTCTGAACCTCAGCCATAGCCCCCAGATCTCATCACCACTGGTGGACCAGGAGTCACAGAAGCAACCAGAGATGTTGGTCCCAAGTGCCTGCTCACAGCAGCCACACAGAGCTCCTCTGCTTTCCCAGTCCTGCACACGAGAGCAGGAGGCAGCACAGCTGACTTACAAATTTATTGTGGCTGAAAAGGTTGATGACAATCATGGGGGTCTCTGTTTTCAACTCTTCTTTTTTCCCATCAACAATGAGCTGGTCAAAGAGAAGAAGTTCATTCCACATGGGGCTCAGTGTCTCCTCCAGCATCTGCAGACAGAGACAGGAGACCTTGAGGGTCCAGTGGAAACAAAGCACTTTGTCAAGAGGGAGGAAGCTCATCCCCTCTCCCCCACAGCCACCTGCAGCTGGTGCTGGGCACGAGGGGAGATGGTAAAAACAGGAAACCAGGATGTGGGGCCAACCAGCACGTGCCACTCATCCTTGGAGACCATGTTCAACCTTGTTAGTTGTTCCCTGAAGACAGTCACACCCCCCATGGCACATAGATACCTGAAGCCTGGAGTTACAAAACTGCCACAGCACTGACCCCCAACACATCAGGGGGGACATGGCTTTTCTCACCCCAAGACCCCAGGAGGGCAGAGGCAAGAGTTTCAGTGGTCTCACCCTGGTGGCCTGGCAGGAAGTTGAAAACACCACTCTTGCAAATGGATCTGAAAGGCCATTGTCATCTGCAGGGAGGAGCCCTCGAGCCTGATACAAATGGGCTCGGAGCTGGAAATAGCTGAAATCTGGCAAGAAAAAGAGAAGAGAGGTCCCAGTTCCCCAGCTGAGCCCCAGGAGAGGCCACAACTGATGAAGAGTGTCAGGCAGGGAGTGGTGGGCACATCCTGCAAGGGGTGGGTACCACCTCACTGTGCCTCTCAAAAGGCCAGCAAGGTTTGGCCAAGCAAGACAAGCTCAGTGGACCCCTCAGACACCTCTGGGAAGGACATGACCTGTGAAATGAGCAGTGATGTGGTGTGAGCACCTGCTGGGGGGCAGCACCCCAGGGGCAGCTCTGACACCCGTGGCCAGTTTGGCAGCACAGCCAGTGCCCAGGACACTCTGTCCTGCCTGCTGCTCCAGCTGAGGCTGCAGACACGTCCTCCTGAGAGCAAACTGGACCTGCCTCCCCCATTCATACCTTGGAGATGCCGTGGTGATAACAGACCAGGTCCTGCTTCTCAGACATTGTCCCTGGGGGTGTGATCTCCCCCCTGCCTGCTCTCCTGCTCACAGTTGGGCCATGGAAAAGTGGCACCTGCACTCACCATCCCTGCTGAGGTGGCTGGGAGGGCTGCACCCCGAGAGCTGGGCCACCTGCTGCCCACTCTCAGAGAGGAACTTGAACTCCTCGGGCAGCTCCACCAAACAGTTCTTGGCGTATTTGGTCACCCCGAGCCACATGTAGATCTCCAGTTTGGCAAAGATCTCACCCGTGTGCAAGCCAGGCACCTGGAAGCATAGGAGGGTGGGCAGGGTTCCCATCTCAGCCATGGCCCCCCCAGATCCACAGAGCAGCCCAGGGGCACAGCAGGCAGAGCTGGGCTGGGGCACCAGCAGGTGTTGCCTCCAGGATTTCAGGAAGGAGGGAAAGGCAGCATCAAGCAAGCAAGGGCACAGCACTTGGTATAAACCACACCTTCATAAAGAGTGTCTGGATCTTTGCACAGTCCTTGCCTTTCTCCTCTTCGACCACAGAGTAGAGGATGTGCTGGGCAGGGACCCTGGCATAGGCCACGCGCCGGTTGCTGCTGAGCATCCAGATCAGGATGTCAGGGAGGGTGCACTGGGGCTGGAGGGGAGACAGGGCAGTGGTGGCATACACAGCCTCTTCTCCCTCCCCATGGGCATGGTGAATGCTCTGTCTCCTGGCTGCCTGGGGCTTTGGAGATCCAGAAGCAAATGCCCAGTGTTCGGCACCTGCTCCCGAAAACCTCAGCCCTGCAACAACAGCTCCTCAGGTTTCTTGGAGGGACCTGTGATCTGCCTGGGTTTTCCCTGTGAACACCTGCAGGATGCACTCAACCTCATACCACCTTGGGAAGAAGAGCCCTCCACAAGACTGGAGAAGTGGAATTTCACCTCACACCTTTGACAGGAGCTTGAATCATAGAATCATAGAACCATCCTGGCTGGAAGGGCCCTTGAAGATCATCAAGTCCACCCATAACCTACATCCCCCTACCATAACTTAATCTCCCCATTCAGTGCTCAAATCATGTCCCTAAGCACTATGTCTACATTTCTTTTCAACCCTTCCAGGGATGGTGACTCCACTAGCTCCCTGGGCAGCCTGTTCCACTGTCCAACCACTCTTTGGGTAAAGAAATTCTTCCTAATACCCAGCCTGAACCTTCCCTGGTGCAACTTCAGGCCATTTCCTCTTGTCCTGTCGTTACTGACTTGGGAGAAGAGCCCAATTCCCACCTCCCTACAACCTCCTTTCAGGCAGCTGTAGAGAGCAATGAGGTCTCCCCTCAGCCTCCTCTTCTTCAGACTAAATATCCCCAGCTCCCTCAGCTGCTCCTTGTCTGACTTGTTCCCCAGACCTTTCACCACCTTGGCAGCTCCTCTGGACACACTCCAGCCCCTCAAAGTCCTTCCTGCAGTGAGGGGCCCAGAACTGCCCCCAGTGCTGGAGGTGCAGCCTCACCAGTGCCCAGCACAGGGCACCAGCACCTCCCTGCTCCTGCTGGCCACGCTGCTCCTGCTGCAGGCCAGGATGGTGCTGTCCTTGAGTGCTGCTCCATGGGAAGGAGCCACCTCCCCTGGCATCACGATGCCCAGCACAAAGCTGCAGTAAACTTGCAATCAAGCAGCTGCAAAGCCCTGCCCTGTCCTGCTGGGAAGGAGCTCTACCTCTTTGGCCATGAAGCGCAGCTTCGTCAGGATCCTCCTCGTCTCCTTCACCTTCTCCTGGACGTTGCCCCGGGTCAGGCGCCGCCGGGCACGGAGCCCCTGCTTGGCACACAGGACCTGAGCAGAGAGCAGGGCCATCAGGAACCCCTGTCACCTGCCCGAGCCACCCTGGCCCCTCAGCTCACAGCATCCCCAAGGCTGGAAAAGACCTTTAAGATCACCAAGTCCAGCCCATGACCAACACCCCCACATCTCCAGACCATGGCACTAAGTGTCACCTCCAGCCTCTCCTGGAACACCTCCAGGGATGGTGCCTCCACCACTGCCCTGGGCAGTCCATCCCAAGGTCTGATCACGCTTTCCATGGGGAAGTGCTTCCTGATATCCAACCCAAACCTCCCCTGGAGCAGCTTCAGGCCAGGCCCTCTCATCCTGTCACTGGTTGCCTGGAAAAAGAGCCCAGCCCCACCTGAGCACAACCTCCCTCACCCCTGGCAGCCCCTCTATCCTGCCCCCCAGAGCTGGATGCTGAGAGCAAACTCCTATCAAGCCGTCCCAGCCATTAAGTGAAGGGAGCCAAGAACTGGAGACTCCAGCAACTCACCAGCTGGCAGCAGAAGCCCATGAGCATCATTTGGGGCAGAAAGAGGTATAAGGAATAAACCTTTCAGAAACTGGTGGTCAAAAGCTCCAGACAGTGCCTGGGGGAGGCTCTGCACAAGGAGCAGCTTGGGACCATGAAGGTACATGACTATGAAGGTAGAGGAGACTGGAAGGTGGGGCTGGGCTGTCGTGTCCATGACTCGACAGTGGAGACACTTTGTGATGAACCCAAACTAATAATGAAACCCAAAAGGAGCTCAGGGTGCTAACCCAGCATGGACTGACACGGCCAGAAAACTCATCTCTTGGGCTGGTTCTCTCTTTCAGAGGGTCTCAGACCTGCCAGAGGTGATGGGCAGAGAGGCAGAGGGAAGGGACCTGGGACCCAGACATGCCCAAGCTTTATTTCCAGCTGCTGTCACTGTGTTCTGGGCAGCTTTTCAGGACTTGGGAAGGTGATGGGAAGTGCAGCCACAGCCGTGCTGGCCTGGGGGGGTGTGACTGTGCTTCATCCAGCTGGCTGGCCTGGCTGCAGATGCTGCCCTCTCTGGGGCCAAGCAAATGGGTGCCTGTTGTAGATCTGCTGGATCTGATGGGGCACCCAGCCCATGGCCTGAGTTCCCAGGGGCAGTGGGGCTCAGTGAGCCCCCCCAGAGCTGCCTGCAGGAATAGCCTGCACTAAAAGGCCTCCAGCAACACGTGTGTGCCCAACAGGAGAGGGAGGGTGGCACCAGGGCACAACTTCTGCACAAAACCAGGGGCAGCCATGGCCAGTCCCTGCCCCTGCTCCCTGTGCTGGAAGCTGTTTTGCTCTGATAAGAATGCTCAGGTGTTGCAGTAAAAGCCCATGACTGATACCATGAGGCTTACCCCCAGGTTTCCTCCTTAGCATCAACTCTAGGTGGTCCTCCTGGACCAGAGTGGGAGTCACAAAGGCCCCCAGCACCACCACCAAGCCCCAGAGCTTACAATGTTGTACGTCAGGTATTTTGTCCGACATCTGTCCAGGTTGTTGGGATGGGCCATGGTTTTCCTCTCTGAGCTGAGTGAGAATTGCCTGCAAGGACACAAGCAGCACAGGCTCTGCACCCCCTGCACCCACAGACTGAGCTCAGCTCCCACAGCAAAGCCATGAGCTCCAGATCCCTGGTGCTGATCCACGTGCACCAGACCCCTCTCTCTGCCATGTCCTCTCTTCTGCAAGCTTTTGGATTTGGAAGGTACCCTGGGGATTGCTCAGCACCTGAGGCTCCCTCTGCTGCCACCAGCACGGGGCTGGGGACTGAAATATGTACCAGACCCCACTAGTCTCTTGTTTGATTGAAGAGAGTGAAGCAAATCACAAAATCACAGAATCCCAGGGATTGGAAGGGACCTGGAAAGATCCCCCAGCCCAACCCCCCTGCCAGAGCAGGGTCACCCAGAGCACATCACACAGGGTCCAGGGGGGTTGGAATGTCTCCAGAGAAGGAGACTCCACAGCCTCTCTGGGCAGCCTGGCCCAGGGCTCTGGCACTCTCACAGGAAAGAAGTTCTTCCTGAGATTCACATACAACCTCCTGTGCTCCAGTTTGCACCCACTGCCCCTTGTCCTGTCACTGGACATCACTGCACAAAGCCTGGCTCTGTCCTCCTGACACTGCCCTGAACAGATTTGTGCCCATGGATGAGGTGGCCCCTCAGTCTCCTCTTCTCCAAGCCCAACAGACCCAGCTCCCTCAGCCTTTCCTCAGCAGGGAGATGTTCCCCTCCCTCCAGCATCTCTGTGCCTCTGCCCTGGGCTCTTTCAAGCAAGTTCCCTGTCCTAACATTTAGGAAACATTCAGGAATCCAGGAACACTGAGGCTGCAGTCAGTGACCCCTGTGCTTCCCAGGGCTGGGGTCTCCCCTCCAAGCTTGAAGAGCTACAGTGCCCTTCCCCAGGTGGCCCTGGGCTCCTTCCCCTCATCTGCCTCCAGAGGACAAGAAAGCAGGCAGGGCACAGCCCAGGCACGACTTCCTCACCTGAAAACCAGGAACCTCAGGGCCTGAGGGCCATGCTCACCTGCACCCAGCTACAAGCTCCTCCAGCACCTCCCGCAGCCGCTCCTCTGCTTTAGCCTTTGGCCTCCTCAGGAGCTTCTCCACGTCCTCCAGGCCCTGCTCCTGTGGGGGATGCAGGAGGTTCAGGGATGCTGCACCTGCCTGGGGCCAGGGGGGAGGGTTGCAAGGATGTGTTTGCCACAAGTGGCCTGTGTCCTCCTGTGGAGCAGGGGATGGTGACAGTGCTGCAGGTGCTGCTAAGGGCTCTGGGACCTGGGGACAACCTGAGCACTGGTTGCTATAACACCTGGTGTCTCAGTCCCTGAGCAGACACTGGGACACGCTGGCAAGCTCTGCTTCTGGATTTCTAAGCCCAAAAGGGAAGGATGAGGCTCTGGGACGAGACTGCATCTCCCTGCTGCACACACAGCTCAGGACTGGCAGCAGAGGAGGTTTTTGTCACAGCTGTCAGGTCACTCAAGGAGACCCCAGAGGCTGCAGCACAGCCCAGGCAGGGGCCCTGCACTCACTGCCCGGCCCCACAGCTCTAAATGGAGGTGGGACTGAGCTCTGTGAGAGAAACGGGCTTGGGTGAGGATGTCTAAGGCAAACATCCTGCAGAGCAGCTGGGTGTCCCACTGGGAAAGCACACCAGGAGGGACCATGGAGGAGACAGACACCCTGAACACCCTACCAGGCGCTCGGCCAGCTTGACAATCCAGTTGGAAATGCAGAGTCTCCAGGTGTGGTCCTCCCAGTAGCTCCACACGTACACGCAGGGCTTCTGGTGGGTCATGGGCAGGCAGCTGTAGGACCTGGGGACAGGGGCACAGGGACAGGGGCACAGGGGACAGGGCAGCTGTTTGCAGAGCACGTGCCATGTCACACCTCAGGGCTGGCACACCCAGAACAGGGACCAGCTCCTGGGCTCTGTCCCCTTTGCAGAGAACAGGCTGGTTTTGTCCCTGCACCCCAGACATGGATGTGAGCAGCTGGAGCTGTCATCCCAAACTTAGCCATCCCAAACTTGGCCATCCCAAACTTGGCCATCCCAAACTAGCCCACGGGGTTTCTAGCAGAGGGCAGAAGGTGCCCAGGGGAAGGAGGCTGAGGGGAGCCCGGGATGCTGTGGGTCTGGGCAGCAGCAGGGACAGGGCTGACAGTGCAAACCCCCCTGCCAGGCCTGGGGGACAAACCCAGAGCAAACCCATCATCAGAAGAGTTCAGGTATGTGCCTGGCCTGCCCCACACAGCACAGCTTGTGCCAGAGGATTCCTCTTCCTCCTCATGGGAATCAAGCCCTCAGGATGCTGCTTGTTAGCTAGAAGAGGAGCTGAATTACTGATGGGTCCCAGCTGCCCTGGGCCCCTGTCCCTGGCCACCTGCACACCCCCAGCAGACACCAGAGGGCCCATTGGGCTAATGGTGGTGGGGCTGCCAAGAGGAGAAACCCCTCCCAGCATCACCTGGCCCAGCAGACCTCTCATGTGTAACATGGAATCACAGCATCTCCAAGGTTGGGAAAGACCTTTAAGATCACCAAGTCCAGCCCATGACCAACACCCCCACATCTCCAGACCAGGGCACTAAGTGCCACCTCCAGCCTTTCCTGGAACACCTCCAGGGATGGTGCCTCCACCACTGCCCTGGGCAGTCTATCCCAAGGTCTGATCACCCTTTCCATGGCGAAGTGCTTCCTGATATCCAACCCAAACCTCCCCTGGAGCAGCTTCAGGCCAGGCCCTCTCATCCTGTCACTGGTTACCTGGAAAAAGAGCCCAGCCCCACCTGAGCACAACCTCTCTTCAGGTGGTTGTAGAGAGTGAATCTGGAATAACCAACCAGGGCAGGTGGGGTAGGACATGGGCAGGTGGGAAAGAAGGACAAGGAAGACTCACCTGTCATAATCCATGGGCTCAGGTCTCTGGCTTTTTGTCACTGACTTGTTCAGAGCTGCTGAGGAGGGGGCCAGGTCTTCAGCATCCAGCTCCCCATCTGAGCCAGGCTCCAGCAAAGGCTGCTTCTCTTCTTTCACTTCTCCTTTTTCCACTTTTCTCTGTACTTTGGTCACAGCCTCTTCAGTTTTGCCATAGTTTCCTTCCAGTTAAGTATGAAAGAGCAACCAGAGAAGTGGGGTCACTGTTAGACAGGTTTGCTGGCTTTCAAACCCAGAGTGCAGCCCTCCTGCCTGGAGCAGCACGTGGGCAGGCATTGCTTTTGGAACCAGCAGTTCAGCAGCATCCAACCATCAGAGCACCACAGGGGCAACCAGGAAGTGCTGGGCAATTGCAAGTCCTTGTGTCTGCCTTAAAATCCCACCAAGCCCCTGCTGACTGCACCTCTACTCTGGGTCAGCAGCAGTCACTCAGGAAGACATCTCAGCATCAAGCATCTCCACCCGTCCATCTCAGCAAGGGGGGGCTTGGACCTGCTCTCCTACCACTGCTTTCCCATCACCCACTGTCACAGCCCATCAGCACCACATGAACACCCCAGTGTCCCAGCTTCCCCTCCTTGGCTTCCCTTTCTTGTTCCCAAAACCCTCATCCCTCTTCTCACCCCCACTTCATAGACTCACAGAATCCCAGATTGGTTTGGGCTGGAAGGGACCTTAAAGACCAACCAGTCCCACCCCCCTGCATGGGCAGGGACACCTCCCACCAGCCCAGGCTGCTCCAAGCCCCATCCAACCTGCCCTTCAACACTGCCAGGGATGGGGCAGCCACAGCTTCCCTGGGCAACCTGGGCCAGGCTCTCACCACCCTCAGACTCCACAATTATTTCCCCTCATGTCTCACCTAAATCCCCCCTCCTCCAGTTTTAACCCATTCCCCCTTGTAAAAAGCCCCTCCCAGCTTCCCTGTAGCCCCTCAGGTACTGAAAGGTAAGAGCTTCAGCCACTCTCCCCAAACAGGCAGTTCAGACAAATCCTCCAAATCTCCAATCCCATCAGAGACTTTTAAGGTAATCAAAGCACTCCCTGCCCCCATCCCATGTCCCTCCTGAAGCCCATTTGGGAGGCAAGAGCTGTGCAAGGGCTGGCACCTCCACAGCACAGAATGTCAGGGGTTGGAAGGGACCTCTGAAGATCATTGAGTCCAACCCCCCTGCCAGAGCAGGATCCCCCAGGGCAGGTCGCACAGGAACACATCCAGACAGGTCTGGAAAGTCTCCAGAGAAGGAGACTCCACAGCCTCTCTGGGTAGCCTGGCCCAGGGCTCTGTCACCCTCACAGCAAAGTTCTTCCTCATCTTGAGGTGGAACTTCCTGGGCTCCAGTTTGAATCCACTGCCCCTCGTCCTGTCCCAGGGCACAAGTGACAAGAGCTTGTCCTGCCTTCTTGCTGCCCTCATGTATTGATAGACACTCATTAGATCCCCCCTCAGTCTTCTCCTCTCCAGACTGAACAGCCCCAGGTCTCTCAGCCTTTCCTCATCAGGCAGGTGTTCCAGCCCCTTCATCATCTTCACAGCTTCCATGGGACTCTCTCAAGACTCAAACTGTCAGAGGGAGGTTGAAGCTGTTCCCATAGTTTCTGGAGATGGGGCCCTGGGGAATACCCACCTATGGAGACTTCAAAGCTGACAGGCTTGGAGCCAAGTGAGGAGTCCATCATCGTGGCTTCGAAGAAGGCAGCAAAGAGGAGGAATTCCTCCTTCTTCCCCAAGGCATTCTGAGCGAGGAGACAGAAATCAGCCTCACAGCCTCTTGTGCCAAAAGTCACCTCAGGAGAAACCCTGAGAGCAGCAGGACATGCCAGGCAGCCCCAGGACACCCATGGGGTGCTGCTGAGGCCACCACCACTGGGCTGCCACACACGTCCTCTGGGAAACCCCTGGGGATTGGAGCAGATCTCTGGCTTTGGCTGATGCTTGTGTGAAGCTGCTGAGCAGGTCTGTAGGGCTAAGGCTGGTGACTGCACCAGCAGAGCTGCACCTGGGCTGCCTTTCCCAGGCCAGCTGGAGCCCCAGGATCAGCTGATGGCTCCTCCTGCCTCCAGGGCATAAAAATAGCCACTCAAAGGCAGGTGTGCTCTGGGAGTAACACCCAGCAGAGGGTTCTCCCTGTGCCAGAGAGGCAGGGCAGGAGTGGATGCTCCAGCCTTCCTGGGAGGAGGTGTTGGGGCTGCAGGGGTGGCCTCAGCCCCTGCAGAGGCTGAGAGAGGTTTGGGTGGCCCAGCAGTCATATCATAGAATCCCAGACTGGTTTGGGTTGGAAGGGCCCTTAAAGATCATCTAAATCCAACCCCCTGCATGGGCAGGGACACCTCCCACCAGCCCAGGCTGCTCCAAGCCCCATCCAACCTGCCCTTCAACACTGCCAGGGATGGGGCAGCCACAGCTTCCCTGGGCAACCTGGGCCAGGCTCTCACCACCCTCACAGCAAAGAATTTCCTCCTCATGTCTCACCTCAATCTCCCCTCTTCCAATTTAATCCATCCCCCCTTGTCTCCTCACTCCCTGCCCTTGTCCCAAGTCCCTCCCCAGCTTTCTTGTTGGCCCCAGGCAGTGTCAGGCCAGGCTTGTTCCACCAGTGCCACACCAGTGGGTGACCCCCCTGCTGCCCAGGCTGCAGGCTCAGCCACCCCAGCCAGCAGGTCTCACCTCGGGGAGGGGATGAAGCTCTTCCACCTCCACAATGACCTCCTCGGGCTGCTCAGCCTCCTGAAAGGCTTCCCCCCCCCCTTCCTCCTCTCCCTGCAGCTGCCTCAGCTCTTTGGCTTTCTCCTTGGACTTCTTGCTTTTCTTTTTCAGCTTCAGCTTGCTCAGGGCCCCCTTTTTCCTGTCCCCGAGCTTCCTCTCTGCCAGGCTGGGGCTGCTGAAGATCTCCACCGCGATGGCCATGAGGACGCGCCCGCGGTAGGAGATCCCCTCTCCCCTGCCCTCGTTGAGCTCCCTGTGCACGTCCCGCAGGGCTGAGTTCTGGGGAGACCCATAGAGGTTCACCCAGGCTGGGCCAAACGTGGGGTTGAAGCCTGCAGGGACAGGGACAGGGTGTCATTCCAGCCCAGGAGCTGCTGCAGAGAGACCTTCTCCCCCAAGGAGACAGCCCGGGGCACAGGGATGTGAACGTGCTCCAGCCACTCCTGCTTCCCAGCTCCAGGAGAGCACCCTGGGCAGCTGCAGAGCCCAGGGCTGGCCAGGACACCCTGCCCAGGGGGAGCCAAGCCAGGCCTCACCGTTCCTGCCAGGGTCTGAGATCTGCTGCAGGTCAATGAAGTGTGTGGCGATGGCCACGTCCCCAACATTGGCATCATCCAGCACCTGCACCTTGATCTTCCTGGCCAGAGGTGGGAACATCTCGATGAAGCTGATCTGCTCGTTCCACACGGGCTCGGTGGTGTTGGTCTCCACGGAGGTTTCCCCCTGGGGAGGAGAAAGTGTGGGGGCCACGCAGAGCAGCCACCCCAGGGCTGCCCCGGAGCCACCTTGGGAACGGCTTCTTCTCCTGCCCCACCTGCAGACTGTGCTGGGCAGGCTCTGGAGGTGCCCATGGGGCTGCCCCTGTCCCAGCAACAGGAGCTGTGGCTCATCAAAGGGTCTGTCCCAAGGCCCAGCCCAGGGACACACTGGAAGCAAATGGGCAAAACCACCAGATCCAGAAGCACCAGAGGGTCACCTGGAAGCCCCCCCAAGGCCCACAAGGCTGCTCAGGGACTGCTCCTCATCTTAGTGGATAACACAGGACAAGAAACCCTGGCCTTGGGTGCAAGGAAAGGACCAATAAACTGGTTTTAAAACCAGTTCACTGACCAGCTCAGTGAACCCTCCCAAGGGCGTCAGGCTGAGCCCAACTTGCCAAAGAGGCCTCCGGGATTTACTTGATCTTCTCCCAAGGTCAGGGGGATGAAATCTCCACCTGCACACCCCGTGGCTCAGCCAGGGCCGTGCCCAGGGCTGGGGCAGCTCAGCAGGCACAGAGGTCCCAGCAAAGCCTTCCCAAGCAGACCCAGCAGCTCCACAGCCACCTCCTGCCAGCCCTGGGCTGGCCCAGCCCGGCTCCAGTGGGATTGCAGGGTCCCCCAGCAGCTCCTGGAGGCCCAGCCTGGCCCCACGCAGACCCCAGCAGCCTCACCTGCTGCCCACAGAAGGAGACCTGCACGTAGGGGTCGACAAAGACCTTGTTCTCCCCGATGATCTTGGAGAGCCCCCCCATGATGCCGGCGCTCATGCTGGGCAGCCCCTCGGCGCGGTACAGCCTGATGCAGACCCTGGCCCAGGGTCTCTCTGCAGGGACTCTCTTGGGCAGCAGCAGGTTCCTGAAACACACGTGCATGTTCTGGCTCTCTCTGGGAGCCCAGGAGGCACCGCGTTGGGAAACGCCCCGGCTGGCAGGAGGTTTGCGTCCTGCCCCACCACGGGGCTCTTCCCCAGGTCTTCCCACATCAGAAGAGGGGGAAAATGGAGGGAAAACAATAATACTAACGTGGAGGGAGATGTGGCTGCTGTCCCCAGGGCCAGGCAAGGTGCACTCACCTTTCAATGTGCTCGTCCCGGCTGCTGGAGGTGGGAAGGGAGCCCACAGTGTCCCCCCGGGCCGTGACACAGACGTTGCACTTGACAAAGCCCTTCACACCCGCCCGGGTGTCTGTGGGGTCACTGATAACAGCCCATTTCTGGAAAAACCTGTGGTCTGAGAGGGAGGGGAAGGAGGTCCCTGTGGAGAGCCCAGCTGACCCACTCCCATCCCCACTGTGTCTGCCCAGGCACTGCCCTGGCCCTGGCTCTGAAGGTGCAGGAGGTGCCACCAGCCCTCAGACAGCTGGGGGGAGAAGCAGGTGCTGGTCCTCATGGGAACTAAGCACTTTAAAGGTAGGGCCCTCACCAGACCATGGTAGGAATGGTGGGAAGATGTGCAGGGCAAGGTTTAGGTTGGACATGAGGAAGAGATTCTTCACTCAGAGGGTGGTGGAGCTCTGGAATAGGCTCCCCAGGGAAGCAGCAATGGCACTGAGCCTGACAACATTCAAGAAACATTTGGACAACACCCTCAAAGACACGGTGTGAGCTTTGGGGTTGTCCTGTTCTGGGGTGGGAGCCCAGGCTGTCCCAGGAGGTGGTTGAGCCACCATCCCTGGAGACACCTAAACAGACAGATGTGATGCCAGGGGACAGGGCTTGGTGGTGGGTGCGGAGTTGGGGTAGGGGTTGGACTTGGTGATCTTGAAGGTCTTTCCCAACCAGAGTGATGCTGTGATGCTGTGACCACACAGGAACCACCCGTGTGCAGGGGCAGGGCTGTGTCCTGGGCCCTACCTGGCTGGCTGTACACGGTCAGAACATCCATCTTGAAGGTCCCAATGCACCTTCCCAGGAACGGGATCTTCTTTGAGTGAAAAACCTGCAGGCAGCACAAACCCCCCTGAGCACCCAGAGATGTGGGGAGGGAGGTGACACATCCAGACATCTCTGAAGAGGACAGAACTACCAGGAGGTACCAAGTTCAGCATGCAGCTCATGCAGGGGTTGCAAGCTCCTCCTGCACGTTAACCTGAGTTAGCCCTGGGACAAAACTGCTCCTGCCCAACCATCCCCACAAAGCCCACAAGCTCCACAGCCCTCACTTAAACCTGCCAAACTCACATGCAACCAATTCAGCTGCTTCTGCCAGCCCCAGAGAAGCCAAACCCCCACAACAGACCAAAGGCAGATCTGCTTGGTCACAGGGTGCCCCGTGTCCATATCCTTCTGGGTCAGGAAGGTCCTTTCAACCCCACCACACTGGAGTCCCTCCCAAAGCCCAGGTCCTGCTCAGGGCTTGCTGAACCCCCACCAGAGGAAGAGAAATTCACAGGGAAAATGCTGGAGGTGGTGTGGCAAAGGAGGTGTTGCCATCTTCAGAAAAGCCCCAAACCTTGGAGAAGCCCCCATGTCTTGGGCCAGGGGATTTTTGAAGACCTGTCCTCACCTGCCTGGGCTTTTCTCCTGCAGGATGAGGCTCCAGTGTGAGGGGCAACAGGGAATCACCCCCAAAGGAGGGGGCAGCAAGGCCAGGGGCAGGACACTGCCCCAGGGCCACAGCTCAGCCCCTGCAGGCAGAGCCAGTGTCCCCAGGAAGGGCAGAGAGGAGGAGACACTTACTGAGATCTCAATGAGTCGGTGGAACAAGATGTCCCTGGGTTCATGGAACTCAAACAGAAAATACTGGAAGAGTAAAGCAAGAAGCTGAGCCCTGGGCTCCCAGCACAGCCCCACTAGGGGCTGGTGCCCCAGAGCAGCCCCCCCAGCATCCCCCAGGGGCCTGTCCATGCCTGGGACAGCAGCAGGACGTGGCCAGGGCCCCTGTCCCAGCACACACCTCGTTGTAGAAGGGGCAGTTGGTCGACTTCTGGGTTGCCGTCTGCCTCTTCTCCTCTCCAACCTTGACCACCACAAAGGGGTTGATGTTCACGCCCACCAGCTTCTGAGCTTCGATGATATTGATTCCAACCTGAGGAAATGTGGGAAAAAAGCCCTGGGATCAGCACTCTCCTCATTCCCAGCTCCATCCTGAGCTTCTTTCAGCAACATTATGCAAATGTGCAAGGCCCACTTGCCAGAGGGTGGATGCTTGAGGCAAGCAAGAACGTGGCTGCTGAACTCTGCTCTAGCCAGGAGAACCCAAAATGGTCTCTGAGATACTTGCTTCTTAAAGACATGCAAGGATATCAAAGAAGCACAGTTGTTGGAAGGGACCTCTGAAGATCATGGAGTCCAAGCCCCCTGGTGCAGCAGGAACACCCAGGGCACGTCACACAGGAACACAGACAGGTCTGGAAAGTCTCCAGAGAAGGAGCCTCCACAGCCTCTCTGGGCAGCCTGTCCCACGGCTCTGTCACCCTCACACCAAGATGTTCACCCCCACCAGCTTCTGAGCTTCGATGATATTGATTCCAACCTGAGGAAATGTGGGAAAAAAGCCCTGGGATCAGCACTCTCCTCATTCCCAGCTCCATCCTGAGCTTCTTTCAGCAACATTATGCAAATGTGCAAGGCCCACTTGCCAGAGGGTGGATGCTTGAGGCAAGCAAGAACGTGGCTGCTGAACTCTGCTCTAGCCAGGAGAACCCAAAATGGTCTCTGAGATACTTGCTTCTTAAAGACATGCAAGGATATCAAAGAAGCACAGTTGTTGGAAGGGACCTCTGAAGATCATGGAGTCCAAGCCCCCTGGTGCAGCAGGAACACCCAGGGCACGTCACACAGGAACACAGACAGGTCTGGAAAGTCTCCAGAGAAGGAGCCTCCACAGCCTCTCTGGGCAGCCTGTCCCAGGGCTCTGTCACCCTCACACCAAAGAAGTTCTTCCTCATGTTGAGGTGGAACTTGCTGGGCTCTAGTTTGAATCCATTGCCCCTTGTCCCATCACAGGCACCACTGAACAGAGACTGGCCCCTCCTTGACACCCACCCTGCAGGTATTTGTAGACATTCATAAGGTCCTCTCTTAGACTCCAGACTAAACACCCCAGGTCTCTCAGCTTTTCCTCATCAGACAGATGTTCCAGCCCCTTCATCATCCTTGTGGCCTCCCTTGGACTCTCTCCAGTCTGTCCCTGTCCCTCTGGAAATGGGGAGCCCAGAACTGGACACAACACTCCAGGTGAGGTCTCACCAGGACCCAGTAAAAGACATGAATCATTAAATTCCCAGCACCTTTGACAAGAGGTGCCTCCCAGGAGCACTGAGTCCCCTCTGTTAGACATGAATCATTAAATTCCCAGCCCCTTTGACAAGTGCCTCCCAGGAGCACTGAGTCCCCTCTGTTCCTCATCCCAAGGGGATGCAAAACCCTTGCTGTCACAGGGGGGTCCATAGACCATCCTGGAGAAAATGCTCTTTGTACTTTCTGTCAATGCTTCTCTTTGGATCCCACTGAGATGGACACCACTAGAAAGGCTGGAATGTGACTGGTTATGGGTCTAAGAGGTAGCAGAAATGTTCCCACATTGGCTCTCAGCACAAGCACTTGTTCAGGTGAAGAATAACAGCTCCAAAAAAAGGAAGGCATGAAATGCCACCCTCCTGCGTGGGGGTGGGGCCCAGCCCTGAACAGCCGGGCACCCAAACCTGAGTCCATGTTTCCTTAGAACAAGGATTTCAATCCATAGGCTGGGAGACCTGTCCCAACATCTGCAGGACAAAAGATGGGACTGGACTCCACTTCCAGGCTGCTCAGTGGTTTCAAACAAACCTGACACCAGAGCATCACCCAGAGCCCCAGCTTCATACCAGCCTCCTGGCAGCAGCTCCCCAGCCCTGTCCCATGGGTGACCCTGGGAGCCCAGGCCCTGGGAGGGTGGCAGCCACCAGCCCTGTCTGGGTCCCCTCCAAAGCTCTGCTCAGTGCTCTGCAGTGGCACATCTGGCTGCCAGGCTGCTTCTCATCCCCTGGACACCCACAGCTACTCCCATGGCCCAAGAAGAAGTTCTGCTCAGGGATGAACCTCCTTCAGGGACTGTGACACCCTGCCCAGGGAAGTGACACGAAGCAAGAAGGTGTTTTCATGCCTCTGGGCCTCACTGGGGCAACTGGAGAGGCTACAGTCTGCAGCAGTGGGGCCAGAGGCAGCTGCAGGGCCATGCACCCAGTGCTGCAGTACCTGGAAGCTCTGAGGGGTCGGGGTGGCAAAGAGGTCCCGGGAGGAGCAAAGTCTGGAGCGGCTGCAGAAGAACAACACGGGTGAGCAGGTCCCTGCATCTGCATGAACCCAAGCCAAGCCCCCCCAGGGAAAGGAATGGAAGCCCTGGGAAATGATGGCTCCTTGCCCCGGGAACCAGCAAAGCCCCAACAGTCCCTGCCTGGGGCCACTGGAGGCTGAAGGGCTTTGACATTCTGTAGAAGCAAATGCCAAGAGATTCCCCCAGCAATGACCCCAGGAGCTGGCACTTCCCACCCCAGGACACAAGCAGGGGCAGGAGAGAAGAGCACACCACAGGTACCTCTTCACAGGGCTGAAGACAATGCCTGAGACCTCCATCTCAGACACGTCATAGAAATCCTCTTCCTCCTCTTCCTCTTCCTCATCAGTCTCCAGGCCCTTGGCCAGTTTCCTGCCCAGCGCAGCCGCCCTCCTGTCCAGCTCACCTGCCCTCGGCCCCTCAGCTGTCCTGCAGACCCCACCATGTCACCCACCACGTCCCCCACCACATCCCCTACCATGTTCCCCACCACATCCCCCACCACATCATCCACTACACCATACCACGTCCCCCATCACATCCCCCACCACGTCCCCCAGCACATCATCCACCACATCATCCACCACATCATCCACCCCAGCACCCACCACGTCCCCCACCCCAACAAGGAGCAGGCCAAGTGCTCCCTCCAGCCCCAGGACAAGCTGCTCCTCCACCAGCACCCTGGTACTTACTCCAGCTCCTCAAACCCGGGGTTGGGGATTATTAACTCTGAACTGTAAGAAAAACAGGAGCTTTGCTGAAAACACCAGAGTGTTGTGGCCAATGAGTGATGCACTAACAGCCTCCACCGTGTGCCTGCCTGGCTCCTGGCAGGGACACCAGTGCCCTCCTAAGGACACTGTTCCAGCACCCACCCTCTGTCCCCACTGCTTTGCCTCTGGCACTCCAGAGGTGCCGTTCTCCAGACCCTGCTGCTGCCTGTCACCCTGCCCACCCAGACACCAGCATCTCCCCTGGCTTTGGGCACCACCTGCGTGGAGGTGCCTGGGGTCACCGGGGCCCAATGCCACCTTCTCTGTGATTTGCAACCACAGCATCTTGTTCCTACCAGCCAGCAAGGCTGAAGAGAAGCTCCTGAGTTTGAAAAGACTCCTGGGGTGCAGCAGTTGCTGCAGTCACAGGCTCTGTGTGAGGTCGAGGGTGAGAGCCCAGCTCACGTGTTGCTGCTGCAGAGCAAAGGTGCATCAGCCTGGCCAGAGGTGGAGAGCAAATGAGGCTGGGCTGCAGAGCTGCTGCCACTGGCAGAGGCAGCTGGAGGAGCTGCCTGGAAGCTTCACAGAACCCAAAACCGGGTTGGAAAGGACCTTAAAGATCATCTAGTTGCAACTCCCTTCAGGGACACCTCCAAACATGAGACCAGGTTGCTCAAAGCTCCTTCCAACCTGGCCTGGAACACTTCCAGGGATGGGGCATTTGCTGCTCCCAGGATTTCAGTACCTGTCTGTCATCTGATAGACAAAGTCCTCTTCAACCCAGGTCCCAGCTGAGCCATCTGGGGGCTGGTACCGCAAATCCAGCTCAATGTAGATCTACAAACAGAAAATGTCTGGAAGTCTGGAAGCCACACAACAACAGCAGAAATGTCGTGGGAAAGGGGGAGTGTGGAATAAAATAAGTGAGATGTTGGTAGGAAGATGGGGAAGGAAGGGGGTCACAACCTCACAAGAAGCCTATTTATACCAGACTGTCTCCTTGTCTACCTCCACCAACAAACTGGAGTTAACCAAACACCCTCCCCTACAGCCTCCCAGGATTCACCAAACCAAAGGTGGCTCAAGTTTCCAAAGCTCAGACCCAGCACAGAGGGGCCATGAGAGCTGCCCTGGGCACTTGTGACAAGGCAGATGGGAAGAGCCCTGCAGCCAACTGAGGTGCAGGGCTTTGGAGCCACCTCTCTGTGACACCTGCAGAGCATCCCCATGCATGATGGCTTGGCTGAAAACACCCCAGAAGCCTCCAGCACACCCAGAGTCTGCATGACATGAGAGATCAACTCAGTGCTACTGCTGAAGAAGGATGCCAGGGAAGGGGGAGGCACTTTGGGCACCAGCACAGCCAACACCTGCTGAGCAGCCTGAGCTCAAAACAACCAAACACACAAGAACCTCCCAGTGGAGGTCAAAATGGCAGTGATGGGGGAGGTCACTTCCCAGGAGGCTGAAGGGGGGTGAACCCAGATCTCAGTCCCTGGAAAACAAATGCTCCTGGAAGGAGAAATGCAGCCCAAGAAAGCAGCAGCACAGTGGGCAGGAAAGGCAGCAGCAAAGTCTGGGTGGATGCAGAGGCTTGAGAGGTGAAGCCCATGCAAACCTCATCAGGTTCAACAAAGCCAAGTGCAGGGTCTTGCACACGGGTTGGGACAACCCCTGGTATCAACAGAGGCTGGAGGATGAAGGGATTGAGAGCAGCCCTGAGGAGAAGGACTTGGGGGTGTTGGTCGATGAGAAGCTCAACAGGAATCAGCCAGAAACCAACTGTGCCCTGGGCTGTGTCACCAGCAGTGTGGGCAGCAGGGCCAGGGAGGGGACTGTCCCCTCTTCTCTGTCCCTGTGCATGCCAGGGGGTGGGACTGGTGATCACTAAGGTCTCCTCCCTGCCAAACCAGTCTGGGATTCCATTACTTACCCCAGTGGCTTTATGGTTCCTGTCGACAAGCGCTTCCCGGAGGACCAGCCTCCCAGATGTCACCAGGTGCTGGAGACTGAGCTCCAGGGTTCCCAGGAGCCAGGAAGGAACCTGAGGCTGCAGCTCTCCAGCCGGAAGTCCCCAGACCCACCCACCCCTCAGCAGGTCGTGTCACCCACTGCTCGTGCCCAGGGACCTGCCTGCAGCTGGGCTGCCAGCAGCAGCTTGTGCAGACCCAGACCCAGGGAGCACCGGGGGCTTCACAGGAGCTCCACAAGCCCCTGCTTGGGCACCCACCACAGCTGGGGTGGCTCTTCCCAGGGAAAAGTGGGAAGCAGGGGCTCCACACAAGGAAATAGATTAATAGGAACCATAGAACCATTAAGGTTGGAAGGGACCTTATAGATCATCTAGTTCCAACCGCGCTGCCATGAGCAGGGAACCCAGAATGGACACAAAGCTGTGGCTGCAGGGGTGTCTGGAGCAAACTGGGGCAAAAATT